AATTTATAGTTTTCTAAGAAAAAGATTGAAAAAAGTTTTTATCAGCACTGCTTATTGAAATAATTGTTTGTAAGTGTATAGGTTAGGTATGAAATTATTTATTTTTTTAAATTGAATAATTACTAACATTTAACAATAATAATAATAATTAAATTCTTTTAAAATAACTACGGGATAATAACTAAACAACAATTTTATTTGAGGATTTTACCTGCATTATTTCAGAGTCAAATGTGTTATGTAAACAAATAATCAAAAATAAGGAAAAAAAATATATAAAAATATTAATTTAAAAATAAATATGAATAAAATAAAACATACTTTTTTTCTCCGTCAAACAAAAGGAAAGATTCAAATGTTGGCGGAGCATTCATTTTCTACGAATAATTATTTGTAATAATTTATTTTTTACACATCAATTGTATGAATAAGTAAGCTTTTAGTAGCCCATCCGGGGGCAGAAGATTCAGCGCTGCCAACTATTGAACTTTTATTAGTTTTCTCAACCGAACGATTCGACTTTATTTTATTGCTTGTTTAAAATTTAATTTATACGATTAAAAAAAAAAAGTTATTATTATTTTATTTCGCAGTGTCGTTTCATCATTATCATCATCATCATCAGAGAAATATATTAAAATATAATATAATCGTTATAAATCAATAAAATTATTTATATTATTCAATATAAATCGGCATTATTTAAATAAGGTAAGAATATAAGTTTAAAACTTTACAAGTGTTTTTTTTTTTTTTCATTTTATTTATTTTTAATAATCCAATCAAAAGTTTAATTATACATTATAGATTTTAATTTTACGTTTTTTTATATTTAATTGATAATCTTTAAAATAATAAAATAAAATTAATATTATTTATTAAAAAACCGTGAAGGCTATTTTACAAATAAAAAAAAAAAAAAAGTCCAAGTAGTGAAAGGACGTTGCGCCCACTCTTAAGGTGTAGGTTTAACTTGTCGCAATCCATGTGAAATAATTTATAATAAAATCTTATAATGGCCAATATCATCATTATATTATTATTATTATTATTATTAATTCACATCATTAAAAATGTTGAATGAAAAAAAAAAAAAAAATTAAATTTAATAAGGTTGTCAATAACGCATAATAAAAACTCACGCGTATTACACGCGATTTTACGCAATTTTATTAGAATGAATTAAAAAAAAAAAAAAAAAATTTTATTTATTTATTTATTTATTATTATTATTATTCTGCCACCGGCATATAAAACTTTTTTAATTTGCTTGATTATTATCATTATTATTACTTGATATCAAAGTATTGTTATTTAAATAAATATTAATCCATCATTGATCGGTTTTAGATAAATGGAGAGCAACAATAGTGATGTAAAAAGTAAAAAATCAAGAGAATCTGACCTTCTTCAAAGGACTCCTCCTCCTCCTCCTCCTTCGGAAAAAGTAATGTTGCATAATAATAATAATAATAATAAAAATACAATAAGTAAAAACAACAAAGAGGAAAAGGGGAAAAGATTAGATGGAAAGAAAATGTTATTTTTAAAAATGCCAAATTCTATAAAAAAAAACAACACAACCACCAACAACAACAACAACAGCCACAGCAACAGCAACAAACACAATCAACCTGATGCTAATGTAAGTTTTATTATTATTATTATTACTATTATCATTTTTTTTCTAAAAAATTTCTTGCGTGATTAATAATATTAAAATTATTATCTTGTCATGGGGGTCTCTTAATCTCATTTTTCATATTATTTATATTTAAATAATTAATTAATAAAAAATAAATCCTTATCATTTAACTGACATGAAACCAAAAAAAAATTAAAACAATTCAACAAGTGTTTTGCATTATTATTATTATTATTATTATTGGTCGTTGGTATCATAGGCAATGATATAATTTAATGTGTTTAAAATGTGTTTCATTAATTTTGACATTAATAATTAATTGTTTGGTGTTAAGTTATTTAACGTGTCAAAAGGTCAATTTTAATTTTACATTAAATTAAAATTAAACTTTTTTTGCACATGTGTTAAAAAAAAAATTCACATTCGTCCATTATTTAGTAGAATCCATATTGCAAAATAAAAAATTTTTTTTATTTTAGTTATTTAAATTTAGAAAATGCATTTTTATTTTTTTTTTGTGTTGCACACACACGCTCGCGCACTCACACACTCACGCACAACGCATTAATTATTTAATTCTAAAAAAAAAAAATGTTTGTTTTGTTTTTGTTATTGCAAATCTCGTCCAAAAAATTTTTAAATTTTATTTTTAGTAACAAAGGTAAAATGAATTTTCCCTAAGGTGAAAATAATAATAATAATAATTATTATATATTTGTTTATAGAATATTTCCCAACAAAAATTTGTCCTCGTTATTATTTTAAAAAAAAAAAAAAGTTATTTTTAAAATTTTAATTTCTTATTAGTTTTTCTCAGTTTTGTTGTTGTTGTTATCGTCGTCGTCGTAGTTTTTTGTTGTTGTTGTTGTTGTTGTTATTGACGTCTTCTTAGTTTTTTTTTTATGAATTTTTCAAATGTAATCAGAAAATTTTGTTTTGATAACGTTAATTATTTATTATTGAGAATCGAATTTCCGGTATTGTTAATGCATCACATAATTTTTTTCTCAGGTGTGTGTTTGTGTTTGTGAGTTTTCTTTGAATCCTTTTTTTTTTTTTATCAGATGGGTTAGGAATTATATTTCAAACATTGATTTTATTATAACGATATTATAACTAACAAACATAACATTTTGTATACAACATTTCACGACATGGAAATTTAATATCATAAAAATAAACATTTTTCCCTTTTTATTTATTTCATATAAATAAATCCCCATAAATATATATACATAAATCCGCGTGCATGCGTTTACGTGGAAAAAAAAAAAAAAACTCTCGAGCAGACGACATTTGTTATTTCAAGGAAAAATTAAAATAATTATAAATACTTGTATATATATATATATATTTATATCCGCGTACGTATAATAAGGGGGCTTGGCTGGGAGGATTACCTGAACGGTAGCAATAAGGAAAAAAAAAATATTTATCCTCCATTTATTTTGTTTTAAATATTTTTTTTTTTTATATTTTATTATTAGCCGTGAGGGTTTTTTTGTAAAATGAAGCTTATAATTATAAAAACATTTTATTATTATTATTATTATTTATTAATTGCGCTTTAATATGGTTCATCCTCCTCCCTTTTTTTTATTTTTACAATTAGCGCAAATAAAAAAACAACAACAACTTTTTTTTTTTTTTTTTTTTTTTTTAATAGGTTGCTTGGATAATTTAAAACAAAATAATAATAATAATAACGATAATAAACGCGTCGTTTGTTTTATTAATAATAATAATAATACAATATGGCGTAAATTACATAATAATATTTACAGCACGTGTTATATATATTTTTTCTTCTTCTAATTTTTACACACACGCGTAAATATATATTCTAGCGTAATAATGATAATAATAATAATAACAATAGTAGTAGTAGTATAAACTACTAATGTTACAAAAGGGTAATTTTATATTTAATAATACGAAAAATAATAATAATGTCTTGTTTTTTTTTTTTTTATTGTATTGTCTTGGTTTTCATAAATAGTAAAAACGAATAGACAGAGAGAAAGAGAGAGGGGGGAGGGGGGTAAGGAAAAGTTTTTGAAATTTGAATAAAACTAAGAACAATATTTAAACTTTCGAAATTCTTTTCTAGCCATTTTATACATTTTTTTTTTTTATTTAAATTTAAAATTAAAAAAAAAAAGTGATTTGACCTAATTTTTTTTTTTTTAAATAATAATAAAAAAAAAATCAAGCGATTTGAAACTCAGGTTTATTATTATTATTATTATTATTGTTAGTAAAAATTCATATTCAAAAGGTGTTTAACCTATAATGGTTAACGTACTTTATTTACCGTGATTTTTACCAGCTTAATCAGCAGAAAAGAAATCACCTCCTTTAACGTAGAAAATTATTTGTGCTCTTTTCCATATATATATTTGCTAAAACGAAAACGAGTCAACTCACTTGTTGTGTGATGTAAATTTTTTTTTTTTTTTTTTAAAACATTTCAACCAATTTTAATAAATTATTTCGCAATCGATCAATCAATCGATCAATCGATATATCGTTAAATGTCTTCATTTAAACGAAATTTTTTTTTTGCTTTTACCAAATTTAACGAAGAAAACTCGAAGAGAAAAAAAAACATAAACAATATTAAGCCTTATTTGACACATATATATCTAAATCATTATTATTTGTAGAATGTTCTATTATTATTATTATTATTATTATTTATACTTTAAAAAGGAAATATACGTTGGTGTTATACGATTCGGTTATATTTGTAAATGATTGATATTCGAAAAATTTTATCTACATGTAAAATAGACTATCGAATGTGTAATTATTAATTTATCCAAAAAAAAAATGGCGGTCGTTTAAAATTTTCCTCGCGTTCATAACAAAAGAAAATTTTTTAAATTTATTTTATGCTCGATTTGAGTTATTTTATTTGTTAATACAGTCGCTTGTTTTGTTTTGGATTTATTGTTTTAAAAAAAAAAAAAAAAACTTTAATAAAATAGACAATGTGCCTAGGTAGTATAAATGGCTGACAGACGTGGAATCAAAATAGAAAGAGAGAGAGAGAAAGAGAGAAAGATTCAAATTTCTATTGTCGCAATCTCGAGGAAAAAAGGTAGCAGTAGCAGTAGGATATTGTATAGCGAGTAACACGGGTGTGTGTGTGTGTGTTGTACATGTGTGTGTTTGTTTGTTTGTGTTTGTTGTAAAAAACGTAGTGTCAAAATATAATAAAAACAATCATCATGGTACTCTTGTCTTGGATAAGTTTTCACGTTGTAAGTTTATTTTGTTTTCCTTCTCTAACGAACAATTTTTTTAATTTAATTGATTTTTAATTAATTTAAATCGAATTTTAATTCAGGATAACAACAAAACAACCCTACATAAAAAAAAACTTATCGTCTGCTTCGTAAATTTTTCCAATGTTTTCCCTAGTATTAATAATAATAACAAAACAATTCAGTTATTTTTATTTATTTTTTTTGGAAATAATAATTTGAACTTTTGATATATCGATGAGGGTAAAAATGGGGTGGATGGAGAGGTAGGGGAAGGGAGGAGATGGTGGGGGAAAAGGAAATTTTATTTATAACGCAGCCTGATTTTTTTTTTTTTATTTAATTTAAGTATTTGCTTACATAGGTAAATTATATATATAGAATATTAGGAAATGAGTAAAAAAAAAAAAAGTCACGAATCGTACACGTGAAAGGCTTTATACTAAGAGGCTTTCATTTA